TCTGCAGAGCTTCTTGGAGGAATCCTGGAGGCTTAGGCCCCACTGCCCACAGCAGTGACCAGCACCACATGCTCACTGCTTACTGAGCACTCTTTCCCTTCTTGCTGCTCTTTGCTGGGACACCCACCACCACCACCTGCATCAACTTCCGGCATGTTCCACATCACCACAAATTAAGACAGGTTGAGAGTAAGGAATTGCTCCAAGTGCATTGGTGTGAAGTCCAAGAAGAGGCCACTGCAACCTCGGTGGTGTGGAGACAGCTACGGGGCTGAGGAGGTGGATCCAGAGTGGAGGAGAAGGTTTGGAGAGGGCTGCTGCCATCAGAATGTCCCTTCCCAACATCCTCGTCCCACTTACGGCTGCATCCTGAGCCTCCTCTCCTCCCAGATCTCCTCTGGTCTCCCCTGGGAGCTTGTGTTGCTTTGGAATTCTCTCCATGACTGTTCTCTCCCAAGGTTTGGCATCCATGATGGCAGTCTCTGGCTACTCTCTCTCTCTCTCTCCGAGTGGTGCAGAAACCATACACAGCATTGTGTTTGGAAATATTATTACCACAGACATCCACCCAGCCAGTTCAGCAGTGAGGTAAGCTGCAGCTGACTATGGAAAGAGAGGCGCACTTGACAACACTCAGCCATCTGTGCAAGGCTGGCTGGGTAGCCTGTGCCAGTCTGGGGTGCAGACACAGATGCCCACATAGCACAGTGTGATGACCTTGAGCCCACCTGCTGCCAGGGGGCAGCTGGCCAATGCATTACTCCTTCCCTCTGTCTGCTGGGAAACAGCCCAGGGATGCTGGAATCATCTGCCGGGCAATATGCAAGGAGCCAGCCAGCTGCTCTCTTGTGGAAGGCCAGGGACCAAGGTCCAGCCAGGCATGGGTCCTGCTCTAAGGAGGTCCAGGGTCTTAGGAGTCCCTGAGGACCTGTTTACTCCCCACCCAAGGCCTGTTCCAATTGCAACTCAGGCTTTGCCATGGATTTGGAAGGAAAAAGGAGGGAGTGATGGGAGAGGAAGTGAACAATGCCACAGGAGGTAGCACTGAATTAAGAGGGATGACTCTGCGTGAGCGTGTGCACGTGTGTGTGCATGACTATACACATTTGAGTGTATACATGAGTATGTGTACATGCATGTGTCTGTGGGAGCATGTATGTATGCACACTCCTGCTGCTTTCCCAGGCACATTAGCAGGGAGCTTGATTGGAAGTGGGACACTCAGGACTCAAACTGCTGGTCCTTCAACTTGTCCTTCACTGGTATGAACCTTGTGGTAAAAGTGCATATATCTGTATGCAGGCAGCTTGCTCCATGCTCACATGTGTGCATGGATATTTCGCAGAGTTCAAGGGCATGGGCATTTCCAGTTTGCTGCAGGGTCCTGCAAACTGCCTTCACGCCAGCTGGCTGCACTCTAGCCACCACGCTTACCTGAGCACCATTGCATGGCTTTGTTGTCTCTGTCACACACATGCAATCACGCAGCAGGCATGTTCTGACTCAACAGGACTGTCCAGAGGGCCCTCCACACTATTCCTCCCCCACGTCACTCATTCTTCCTCTTCTGCCATGTTCCACTGTGGGAACCTGTAGGGGATACTGATGTGTCCCCATGCTGAAGGGGATCTGGGCAGGTTCCAGGGGGCTGCTATGCATGTCTCAGCAGGTGTTTTTTTTTTTTTTAATATTTTTATTGGAAAGGCACAGTTAGAGAGAGGAGAGGCAGAGACCTTTCATGCACTGGTTTACTCTCCAAATGGCTACAGTGGCTGGAGCTGAGCCAATCCAGTACCAGCAGCCAGAAGCTTCTTTTGGTTCTCCCATGTGGGTAAGGGGGCCAAGGATTTGAACCATCTTCTGCTGCCTTCCCAGGCCACAAGCACGGAGCTTGATGGGAAGTAGAGCAGTTGAAACTCAAACCAGCACTCATATGGAGATATGCCATATCTGATATGCCAACTGGCCCTTCACCCCTTTCTCAGGATTTCCAAGCTGTCTCTAGAGTCCTATTTTCTCGGTGAAGCATGTGGTAGGGGAAAAAGATCTGAGACTCCCACACTGGGAAAGTCTGTGCACAGACTTTAGGGTGACGTCTTCTTGGCACATTGATTTCTATTTGGATCCCCACACCTCTCTTCCACCTCTTGGCTTTAAAGCTGAGCCCGAGGTGGGGTTAGGCCCTCTTGATGGGCAGTGCAGCCCTGGGCAGGGTCAGACCCTCTCCAGGGGCAGTGTAGCCCTGAGCTTCTTCCTGCTTTTGTCTCCTACTAACCCTTAGTGTTGGACAGATTAACGCAAGCTCATGTAAAGCTAGGCCTTTTGGCGCTTCGGGGCTTCCAGATTTCTGTCCAAACATCATACAGACTTCAACTATGCCAGGGAGGTGGGCCCCTGCAGCCCAGGAGACCTTGGCATTGCTAACTTCACTGCTCCTGGGGCCCTGACCTTCTTCCTGGCTGTCAGCCCCAGCCCCGCTTCCTAGCTGCTGTTCCTGTTTTTGCTTTAGGTCTTACCACATCTTCTGTTCACTGAGCTTGTTGATAGTCTATTCTTCCCTCCTCTTCTTCCAGCTAACTGCAAGTCCACGCGGGCAAAGCATTTTCTTTATCTTTTTCTGGGGAACTCCCACAGCGGAGAACACTGCCTGGCACACAGTAGGGGCTCCACAGATATGGACAGGCATCACTTAGTAGGGAAAGAGCGAAGTCCTGAGAGACACGTCCTTAGCTGGTTTTGTCGTTGGGTGCACACCACGGAGTGCACTTACACAAGCTTGCGGTGTGGGGCAGTCGGCTTCCCGGTGCAAGAATGAGTCAGCTGCTGCCCTAACAGGGCACCTTGCTTTCAGTCAGCAGGTTTTGTGTGTGTGTGTGTGTGTGTGTGTGTGTGTGTGTGTGTGTGTGTGTTTTATTCAAAAGGCAGGGACAGACAGAGACGGACACAGAGAAATCTCCAATCTCCCCAAATGACTGCAACAGCCAGGGCTGGGTCAGAGTTAGGAACCTGGAACTTTTAGTCCAGATCTCCCAGGTGGGTGTTAGGGACTCAAGGACTTGAGCCATCACCCGCTGCCCCAGCCCAAGATGCACATTAGTAGAGGATGGGTAATGAGCACAGCCAGAACTCAAACCAGACACAGGCATCCCTGGCTGTATCTTCACTACTGTACCGAATGAGCACACTCCAAAATAGCATGAAAAGTCTGGTGGTAGAGACACACAGAAGCCAATAACAAAGCGGTTCATTAGCCTCAGGTACTGTTTTATGTAATACGTAAGTGTGTGCACTTTTCTTTTATCTGGTGGTGGGTGTGTTCACATCGGCATCACCTCAAACAACACGCGTTAACACGTCGGACTCTAACTTCTGAGAGCCATGACGTCACAAGGCTACAGGAATTTCCTGCCCTCTTATCATTTCCTGGGGCTACCATCGTATGTGTGGTTCCACGCTTTGCTGTGAGGAGGGTGATGACACGATCTGCACAAACCGTGATGATACACCATCGAATCACTTGTTGACACTAATGCATCTCCTGTGCTCTTCAAGAACTTTCTTTTGTTTGTCCTTTCTACCCAGAGGAGATGAAGCTGGCAGCATGATTTAGAGAGGCTGGGAACACAGATGGGAACCGCATTTGCCTTATGCCAGAGATGTCCCATGGTTACCTGTCCTGAGCCTGGAGCTGGGCTGCAGGGCACACAGAATTCTGAAACCATTTTGCCAGTGCATGCCATGGTCAATGAATTCACTATGAAGAAGGCTCTCTCTCTCTCTCTCTTTTTGAATCAATGTTGCACTTTTGGCAATAAATAAAATAGGGTGAGTGACATTTCCTTCTCACCTTGCACCCTGGTGCTCCACCTTTCTCCCCAGGGGTGACCCCTGATGAGATCCTTGTTGATTGTTCCAGATAATGATTGCATTTACAAACATTTGATTTTCCCTTCGCACGCCAGACCCATTCTTCCTCATGTTGCTTTTTTTACTTCACAACATGTCTTCAAGGCACCTCCATCTCACAGCCCTGAGTATTGTGTAATGGACTCTCTCTGCCCCCACCCCATATCCACAGGCAGGCTTTGCTTATTATAAACAATGACAGCATCCAGGAACCTTTTGCATAGGAAAAAAAAAAAAAGAAAAAGAAAAAAGAAAATGAGGAAAGAAGAGAAGGAGGGAAGAAAAGGAGAGAAAGACAGTAATCCATCTCCAAAGGGCTCAGAATGTATAAGACACGTAATTATCCGTGCAGCATTTCAATGCCGGGTTTGCCGTTAAGCACGATAGGACCCTTGCCCTCAGAGTCATTCTAACAATGAATCAAAACCCTGCTGCCTTTACCTCGCCATAGAAATTCCTCGTTGCTTCTCCTATGGGGATGGAGAGAGGAGGGCAGTAGAGAAGAGGGCTCTGCTTGGCTTTTAACTTGGCATGCCACGCTGGGTTTTATGTGGTGGCGGCAGCTCCCACCAAGGTGCATTGGGGAGCAGCATGAGGATTCTAAGTTTGCTGTGATATATTTAGAGTGAGCCCTTTAATGGTGCCCTGAGCGGGAGTGTAAATAGCTGCTTACACGGGCACTTAGAGCCAACCTAGAAAGAGGTTATAATTGCAGAGTGCAGGCAGTGCTGTACTGGAGAGCTTTTCTAAAATGACATGCTATTTGACCCAGTAGTTTCCAGAAGGTGGAGGCTTCTTTGATCGGGGAGGCAAGCTGTCTTGCACAATGACTGGTTTCCTGCAGTGCTCTGGCCAGACATGCCTGGCCAGGGTGGAGCTGATAACGAAGAGAACCTGCGCTGAGAGCTTGGGGGACTGGAGTTTCGTCTGAATTCTCCTAGAAGCAGCCAAGGATCAAGTTCAATCAGACTATTTAGAAGGTGGTGCCTGGGCTCTCACGCATGGGGAAAGTAGGTCAAGAACAAGAGCGAGGCTTTTGGTGCCACTCCTTCCCCCTCTTTTAGTCTCTATTTCTTAGAGCCCCTGACGGTGCCATGTTGGGACACAGCATCCAGAGGTTCATCACCTCCATGGGCCATAGGAGCCACTTCAAGAGGGCCCAGGGAAGAACATGCTGGTCTGTGGACAAGTGGAGGCTGCTGGCAATGATGACTTCATGTTTTGGGTCTGGATTTGCCACATCGTTTTTCATCATATCAGCTGCTTAAGAAATAAGGCTCCAGGGCCCAGTGCGGTGGCACAGTGGTTAAGGTCCTCGCCTTGCACGCCCGGGATCCCATATGGGCTGCTGGTTCTAATCCTGGCAGCCCCACTTCCCATCCAGCTCCCTGCCTGTGGCCTGGGAAAGCAGTCGAGGATGGCCCAAAGCTTTGGGCCCCTGCACCCGCGTGGGAGACCCGGAAGAGGTTCCTGGCTTCGGATCGGCATAGCATTGGCCGTTGTGCTCACTTGGGGAGTGAATCATCGGACGGAAGATCTTCCTCTCTGTCTATCCGCCTTTCCAATAAAAATAATAAAATAAATCTTTTAAAAAAAAAAGAAGGCTCTGAGATGACAGCATTTCAAGAAGTGCAGTCTCTTTGAAACATGAGTCAAACTCTTGAACTCAGAGCATACCAGATATGTTTGTAAATAAACTTCTGACATGAATGCTTAATGCGTCTTCTCTGTCATAAGGAATGTGATATTGGAGCATGTGTCTATCTTACAGTTTACATAATACTAAACTATTAATTTCTCAAGACATGTATGACTTAGCTTGCTATATGACCAGAAATTCTGAGATTTTATTTAACTTAATTTTTTTGGGGGGCTTAAGACATTGTTGGAAGCTTATGACATAAAGAGCAACACAAAGCTAAAAAAAAAGGATGGTTCCTAAGAGGTACCTGGAGGGTGGTAGGGAAGAAAGGAAAGACAAGGATGAGAAAGAAGCCATGAACAGTTATCACCATGGACCACTGAGGCCCTGTATTTTTGGGGACTCTTGGAGAATAACACGACATGCTTCTGCACTCCCCTGTGAAGGGTGAGGGATCTTGGGCATTCATTCAACCAACATGCACCTGTCACCAGTTATAGGCTCTACAGCAGGGGTGGGGTAGCCTGTAGTTTGCCCTGCATGAAGCTATAGAGAGTTTCTGATTTGGTTTCTGTGGCACTTTATGGAAACCCCCCACCCCTGAGCCAAAAAGTACTGGCAAAGGATGTGCAAATTCTCTAGATGCTACTGGTGTCTGGCAGATCCAGCTGAGTTCCTAGATGCAGTGTGTGCGCTTCCAGGTTGCAGCTGGGCAGACCACGCTCCTCCCTCTGAGGCCTGGTTGTCCTGCCTGAGCGATGTCTGGCCACATGGTGGACTGAGTGGCTCTGAGCTGATCCTCAGCTCCTAGGATAATGTGAATATGGACAGTAATCCATCCCCAAGGGCTCAGAATGTATAAGACACGTAATTATCCGTGCAGCATTTCAATGCCGGGTTTGCTGTTAAGCACGATAGGACCCTTGCCCTCAGAGTCATTCTAACAATGAATCAAAACCCTGCTGCCTTTACCTCGCCATAGAAATTCCTCGTTGCTTCTCCTATGGGGATGGAGAGAGGAGGGCCTTTCCACTTTAAAAAAGATTTCAATCAACTCATGTGAACTGGAACAAGATCTAAGCATTTGAAAGCTGTGAGAGTGGAACAAAATTTGGAAGACTGAATGGGACGCAAATATCCCTCTGCAAGTCTCTGCTGCAGGGTAATAACAAGGTGGGCCTTGTGAGCAGTGAGACAGTGGCTGTCAGGAGGTTGATTCTGGTTGCACCAAACAGACCCGCCCATCTCCAATGCCTCACTTCCGGAATTTCCTGCTCGAGAGATGGTGTTCTGCATGACTTCAATAACATCCCTTCTTCAGCTCACAGGCCAATTAAAATTTCACTGGGTCAGAGAAAGTGCCTCAGCTACTTGCCCCTGGGTTTAAATGAGTCTAATGATTTTTTTAAAAAAAAGATCTATTTATTTATTTATTTATTTGGAAGTTGAAATTACAAAGAAAGAGGGCAAGAGAGAGAGAGATTTCCATCCATTAGTTTACTCTCCAAATGGCCACATGGGTCAGGGCTGGACCAGGACAATGCCAGGAGCCAAACAAAGCCCAACATTTGGCCATCTTGTGATGTTTTCTTAAGTGCATCAGCAGGGAGCAGGATTGGAAGTGGAGCAGCTGAGACTGAAGCAGGTGCTCTTATGGGTTGCCTGTGTTGCAGGTAGGAGCGTAACTAGCCACCTTGACACAACACTGGCCCCAGCAAACACAATCTTGAAATGATCAGAGCTTAGGAAAACAGGAAATGGACAGGTAAGTCAATGCATCAGTAGATTACCTTCCTTTGAAATGCTGATAATGTTAAATGTCCCCATCACAGGAGATGGCCCACAGTGGTGGATTCCTAGCTCCTGTCAACACACTGTTGTTGAACAATATTGGGCAACTGGGACAGGTTCTGAGGGGAGGTGATCTATTGGGAGGAATGGCCATTAATTTTATCTGCTGTGCTGTGTTGAGCAGGATTCTGAAGCCCAACTGGGCTCACCAGGAAAAAGTGATCCTCTTATTAGCTCTGTCTGCCATGGATGTGTAAGACTTTTGTCACCCTTGATCTAGTACATATCAAATTCTCCATGGAGCCTTGGAAAATGTATCGGTTTTGCTATCAAGTAGCTTAAAAGCTTGTGAACTAAGGAATGTTTATCTTCCGCTCAGCATGTTGGCACAACTGGCTAATCCTCTGCCTCCAAGTGATGGGATCCCACATGGGCTCTGGTTTGTATCCCAGCTGCTTCACTTTCCTTCCAGTTCCCTGCTTGTGGCCTGGGAAAGCAACAGAGGATGGCCCAAAGCCTTGGAACTCTCCACTCATCTAGTGATGTAGGGAAAGCTCCTGGCTCCTGGCTTTGGATTAGCTCAGCTCTGGCCATTGCAGCCTTTTGAGGAGCGAAACAGCAGATGGAACAGCCTTCTCTTTGTCTCTCCTTCCTTCTGTAAAACTTCCTTTCCAATAAAAATAAATATATGCATTTTAAAAATAAATGTTTATCCCATTTTCATTTATTTCTTGATCCATCTATTAGGCTACTTAGAATGAGAGGAAAGGTTAAAGCCACCACATAGAAGTCAAAAATATGAGGCAGGTGTCATGGCACAATGGGTTAAACCACTGACTGCAATGCTGATATCCCAAATGGGCTGGAGTTAAGTCCCAGTTGTTCCACTTCCTATCCAGCTCCCTGCTAATGCACCTGGCCCAAGAACTTTGGTTCCTGCCACTCATGTGAGAGGCCTGGATGGAGTTCCAGGCTTCTGTCTTCATCCTAGATGAGCCCTAGCCATTTTAATCATTTGGGGAACGGAACAGTGAATAACAACTCTCTGTCTCTTCCCACCCTCACGTTACTCTGCTTTTTAAATAAATAAATCTTTATAAACAAATAAAAGAATCTATGAGTTCAAGGTGCAGTTCTGTGCTCTGCTGTGTGGCTTTAGGTAATTTACCTCACCCTTGTGGTACCAGCCACACCTGCCTCTCATTGTTCACTTGAGCTACTCGATTGCTTCCTACCTGGTTTCCACCCTCCCCATGGACCCCCCTACAGGTCCCCTCCACAAAGCAGCCTGCCTACACGTTCCTAGATATAATCCAAGGTGTGCTAGGCTCTCATAGGAAACATATCAAACTCACAAACATTATGGAGAATTTCTAGGGAGAATCTACTGAGGTTACCCAAGGCCTCCTCCATGACCCAGCAGCTCCACAACTAACCATGTCACCCAGCAGAGTTCCTCAATCCATCCACATCTGAGACAGGTGCATTTTGCTGAAAGCTAATTAGACCTCAATGCAAAAGCCCATCTCATAGACCTTTCAATGCTCTGAGAATAAAGACCTCATTGTTCTGAGAAAGTCAGTCTGCCTGCTTGTCCCAAATGGGCTTTCTTTCTATAAACACCATCCTATCTCAGGACTTGGCACCTGCTATTACCTCCTCTCGGTCGTTCTTCCTCCAGATCTTTGCATAGCTGGCCCCTTCTTGCACTCTTTCCCCACCAAGGTGGTCCCTGCCCCAGTTAGTAGGGTCATTTCTGCACTGGAAAGAGGTGAGGAGAGGCTCTGCTTTGAGCCCTACTCCCACCTACCCCACAGGGCAACAAGGATCAGGTGGGCCATGGGGAGATACTCACCCAAATGCCCATCGGGACCACACATCGAGACTCGAATTAGACTTCTTTCCCTGAATCTACAGCTCCACTGGGATCTCCTCTTTGGTTCTGCTCTCCTGCAGATGTGTCACAACCTGGGAGAGCGGGGTAGGGTAGGAGGGTTGCCCATAGAACAGGCCAGAGTATGGACTAGGAAGAAAAGTGAGGTGGGTTCTGGGCTAGTGGCCTCCATTTGAACTCATATCTGGAATCCATAGTCACTGGAGGTGGGTCCATCTGTTATCCTATTTGATTGTCAATAGTCTTTTTATTGATTGTTTTTTTTTTTTTTACCTGCTCGAGTCATGAAGTCCCAAATGAGTCACTAGTGTTTGGCATACTCCCTGGCACATCAACAGTGTTCATCATCATGTGAGGACTGCATCAATGACAGCCTTCCCACTAGGTTACTGGCCTTACAGACAGCCCTAAAGAATATGGGTCAGAGAAATGGGTTGAGCTCAACCAACAGGAGGCATGCGCTTGACCTCAGAACATGGTAGCCCAGGCAAGGTAGGTGGATAATAGCCCCTTCACACCTCTTCTTCAAGAGCTTATGCCTCTTCTCTGTGTGCTTACCTGAAATCAACTGGGCCTTGGATGGCTTCCCGGAGAGGGCTTGCCTTGGATTAGACAGGTGGCTGGGGTTAGTGTGAGACCTTGGACAGTAGGGTGAATCACTCATATGGTTTAGCTACCTCAGTAGCAGATAGGTGAGCGACTGGGGGGTTGATTTTGAGGGCTGGCCTCTCTTTGGGGCCATTCAAGAGGATGGGGAGTGCCGTGCCCTTCCCAAACCTCCTCACCACTCAGGAAGGTCTTGAGGTTCACCAGTAGGCAAAACAGCTGTGTTCTAGGCTGAGTATATTTGGATATAACAGGTGCACAGAAACACACACCGGTTGTAAGTCATGTGGGTGGCCAGTTCTAATAGCCCAAACACATTTTGGCAGCCAGCACGC